ACCATCATACTGAATCCCTTCAACATTTGGTTACTGTCAATTAAAGTTTCCAAGTCAAATATAAAATATTATGAAGTTAATTAAATGGTAAAAAGGACTTAAAGGTTCCTCTCTGTGTGCCTTTGTTTTAGTTAGGGATTCTTTTATTGTGGAAAAAAAAATACAATGTCCAAAAGCAATTTGAGGAAATGCTTTAATTCATCTTACAGTTTGTAGTCCATTATCTAAAAAGTAGGGCAGAAATTACAGGAAGGAACCTGGAGGTAGGTACTGATGCAGAGGCCATGAAGAAGTGCTGCTTACTTTACTGGTTTGCTACTCGTGGCTTGCTCAGTTGCTTTCTGATAGCACCCAGGACCACCAAGTCCAGAGGTGGCTCCATTTACAATCACTTCCACATCAATCACTAGTTGAGAAAATACCCTACAGGCTTGTGCACATCCCAACCTGATGAAGGCATTTTCTCAACTGAGGTTCCTTCCTCTAGCATGTTTGTAATTGACAAAAATGAACCTGCGTAGCCTCCCTCTACTGAAAAGATCACGACAGTGTCAGATTCCCTTTGCCTCTCTTATAGTTTGTCATTTTTTTATCATATATCTTAAGTATAATTTTTGGTCATTTGGACATTATATAAAAGAACTCAACATACACATATGAATGTTTTTGTGATATTTCATTCACATCATTCATTTTCACTGTTACTACAGTTCATTCTTTTCTCTGCTGCAGTGTTCTATTACATTACAATCTGTTCATTTAAAAACTTTCCCCAAGTCCGGGAGGTGGTGGCACACACCTTTAATCCCAGCACTCGGGAAGCAGAGCCAGGCGGATCTTTGTGAGTTCAAGGCCAGCATGGTCTATAGAGTGAGTTCCAGGACAGGCACCAAAACTACACAAAGAAACCTTGTCTCAAAGAAAAAAAATTTCCCCAGGCTGGAGAGATGGCTCAGCAGTTAAATGCACCTGCTGCTCTTCCAGAGACCAGAGTTCAGTTCCCATGATGCACTCTGAGGAAGTTCACAATCTCCTGTAACTCCAGATCAGGGGATCTGACACCCTCTTCTAACATCTGTGGGCACTGCATGCATGTTCACATAAAATAAATCAAAACCCCCTTTCTCTTTCTCTAGTGTTTTATGGTTGAAATACATTATGCATGGACATAAATCTCTTCTTCTTTACTCAATTTGGATATACTGAACTTTGCCATTCAATAAATGGAGTATTTCATTGGTTCAGTTATGATGCTTTCAACTCTTGTCTCATCTCTGTTTTCTGACCTAACGATTGGGATTACATGGATGTGGACATTTTCATTATACAATCTACCAATCTTATCTATTGTTTGTCTCTATGCACTATATTCTGAATGGTTTCTATTTCATACAGCATTTCAGTTCAAGAAATCTCTCTACACTTAGATCTAACCTACAGATGAAACTGTTTCTCTGAAGTTCAATGATTATATAATTCTTTAATGAGATTTTGTTGTACCATTGTAATAAATAGACTTTGCATTCTTTAAAGTTGCTTTTCCTAAATATTTTAAAGTTTCTGTTTCTTCATTCTAATATGTAAATGTGGATATTTCTATTCCATTTCTGATGCTGACAGTAATAGGACCCTCTCTGAGTTAGTGTCTACTTATGACCCTGCTGGTGACGTTCATGATTTGCTTTCTTGTCTGTTCAATGATTTTAACATTTAAGAGTGAGTTTACCTTAAAACTTTAGCAAAGAGATGAGGTAGCCATGGCTTTTATTTCAGGTCACTTTTTTATCTAGCCCCCCCCCCTCATTGCACATTTCCAGGGAAATGAGTGCTGGTCTTGTGCTTTAGCTGCTACACTTTTGATTCCCTCAGTAAGTCAGTTTTCTGACTCTACCCTGTCATACTGCCAGAGATAAGTTCATGTTAATTATTTCATTAAAACCACATGCTACTGCTGTGGATCCAAGTACTGTTAATTTGGAAGCATAATTATTGCTTAGAGAGACCCTGAGTAGTTTTAGATGCTTAATAGATACAAATTCCTTACGAAGCAGAGCAATCCCCTGTACCAAGTACACACTGTTCTGTTCTCTCCATCCTGACAGTAATATCTTTGAAGATATATGTGTGTTTATCAACTGGCTCTTTTTTTAGAAGTATAGAAAGCTCAACAAGAATCTTCCCTTTTTTCAGGGCTATCTTCAAATATTGCACTGTTAAGAGACAAACCATGATATAATTTCTAAATGACCTATCTGTCAATATTATTTTATGAGTCATAAAATGGTAGGAATTCTAGATGATGGTGCATTTGTCTGTATAAAACTGTCAAGTTCTCCTAATGAGGGTTCTGCTGTCAATGACCATTTTCATATTAAGCATTTTTAAGAGATCTTACTCCTTCATTTATGTTTCTGTGTTTGTGAGGTTTGCCACATATGTGGGCTGCTTGAGGAGTCCCGAAGGGCTTCAGATCCCCAGGAGCTGGAGTTACAGGCGGCTAGAAGCCAACTACCATGACGCTGTCTGAAAAGCAGCAAGCATTTTAACAGTGAGCCATCTCTTCAGGCCGATCCATACAGGATTTCCAACCAAGGTACACTTTCATAACAATTATATATGTATATATACATATATTTGTATTTTGTTAATGTAAGTTCTTTAAGAATGAGGGAGGTAATAAAATTTGCTGAGCAGCTGCAAGCTGTTCTTATGAACTTCATCACAATCCTGTGAAATTCATGGTAATATTTCTATTTTCTAGGAAAGAAAATATGTACTTATGACAAAATTAAGATTAAGCCAACTATACATGACTATTAAAACAGAAAGATTTTAAAACTAAAATAGAATACTTTTAAAATAAGATTTATTATGCTATATTAACTTTGATTAATTTAGTTACAGAATCTCATAGTCACAAGGAATTACCAGTGAGAGACCCTTAGGGAGGTAACTATCACTGAATCCCTGAGCCAGATGAAATCTGATCCTCACAACTCATTTTGACTAAATTTGAGTGTGTGTGTCATACGCATGTCACAGTGACTACGTGGAAGTCAGGAACAACTTGCAGGCTTTGGTTCTCTCCTTTCTTCCCTTCGGGGACCAGGGATAGAACTCAGGCTGTAAAGTGTGGTGGCAATTACCTTCACCCCAAGTCATCTCAATAGCCCACAACTCATTTTTAATAATGGAATGTGGTGTAGCTTCTTTGTAGATTAAAAGCACACACACACAAAGAACGTAGTAACAACTCATGCACACATTAGGTGATTTGGGGACGGCATGCTTATGTTCTAGCATTTCATTTAGTATCAGCTTGGAGACACCAAGAGACAGGGAGCTCAAGGAACAACTTCATCTTAGGAAATTCATACACCTGTCATATATGCCTCTCCTTAAGGGAAAACTTTACTATTTAGAAGACAGTTCTATTACCACAGAACATATTCTAGCCAGAGATTATTTAATTCATCAAACTATAAATAGCATTAACTTATCATCACACTGCTTTCTTAATTTGAAGGTAACTTTAAACTCTATGTCATTTCTCCACAGTTTGGTTAGTCTGGTATCTTCTCAAAGGCACTGCGTGTTTGGATCCTAGCCTTGAACTGCTTACAACACAGTGTAGGTATGAGTAAATGCTATACTCACAGAGAGAGCTTTATTCTTAAAACTGGCACACAGAATAAGAAAAACCAAATAGTAATAAGTGAATTTATATCATATAAATAGAAAGAAAGACAACCTAATACAAGAGACTTGTAATCACACGGCACAAACAAACAAAAAATACTGCTGAAGGCTGTAGAGATTGTTCAACATTTAGAAGTACTTTCTGCTCTTGCAGAGGGTGAGCATTCAGTTCCTAGTATCCACAGAGGATGTGACTTCCCCTGGCCTCCAAGGGCTCCTGTAAACATTTGATATATATAAAATTCACATAAGCATACACATATAAAAATTAAAAAAAGAAAAGAAAAAGAAAAGGCATGTGCCTTTCGTCTGAACACTTGAGAGGCGTGGGCAGGTAGATCTTTGTGAGTTCAAGGACAATATGGTTTACTTATCAAGTTCCAGGCCAGCAAAGGATATGTAATAAGACCCTGTCTCAAAAAAACCAAAAGATCCAGTGTCCATGAAAACTATAATATCTGAATTTTGATGTCAATCTTTGCTATTCTGAAATAGCAATTGGATCTCCTGAACGAAACTGAGGACACACACTATAACTGTGATTTAAAATTATATTATAAACTGGATTATACTATGAGGAGCTCAGTCTGTTTATGTCGGCTTACGTCTGTGGATGTTAAGCCGTCCTTAAAGCACACCTGAGCTTATCAACATTTTATGGGACATTTAAAATATTTTTCTTTCATTTTTAAGGTTATAATATGATTACATCATTTCTCTCATCCCTTTCCTTCTTCCACACCCTCCATACACTCCAAATAATTATACCATTTCTCCCTTCCCTTTCCTACCCTCAAACTCTCCCCTATGCCCCTCCTTGCCTACTTTCAAACTCACAGCCTCTTTTCTCATTAATTCTTATTGCATTTATATATATATATTATAATATATAATATATATATATTATACACACACACACACACAAATATATTACACACACTATATTCCTAATATAGCCTGCTCAGTCCGTATGTTTTTAGGGCTGACCATCAGTACTGGACAACCAACTGTTGTGTTCTTCCCTGGAGAAGACTATTCTCCCACTCTCAGCGGTCCTTAGCATTTCAACAGCATTCTCAGTGGTCCTTAGCATTTCAACAGCATACAGTATTTCCAGAGTGCTCCACCACAGGAGTACTACAAGGCATTCTTCTGTTTACCATACAAAGAAAACTTCCTGATTCAGAAAAGACTTTTCTCGGGACATGGGTTTTTTACTTGGATGTAGTTTCAGGGTGGCAGAACTGTGTTGAATGGCAGTGTTCTCTGGACAGCTCAAATGTGTGTAGGCTCACTCTTACCTGCTTAAACAGTTGAAGGTTAACTGCAGTTTCCAGGAACTGTTTCATCACACTAGAGCGGTGCTTTACAAAGCTCTCCTCACAGAAGGTGATGGGCTCACCCTAGACAGAAATAAAGATTTTTGGGACATCAATAAAAGGTCAGTCACAGAGAACTAGTCTTTTTAGAAAACAAATGGAGGGTCACAGGGGGACATGTGATACAAAACTAACAAACTAACCCCACATTGGGGCCCAGGCTAGTAGAAATAGCGCTGTACTGAAAACCCTGTCAACAGGCCCTGAAGCTCTTAAAACTGCTCAAATTCAGTCCCTCAGAAAAGAGTAAGTCCCTTAAATGCAAATATTTGACACTGTCAGATTGAATTTGAAGTATAAAAATGACATGTATACTTGAAAAACTTGAAAATCCCTTTTCTTGATGATTGGACAAGATTCTTTTTTCAAGTGTGATTTCTTTTTGTGATTGTCATGCATGAGTGTTTTGGTTGCATGTATGCAGGCTTGATGCCTCTGGAAGTCAGAGGAGGCCATCAGATCCCTGGGATCTGGAGTTACAAATGGTTGTGAGACATCATGTCATTCTGGGAATTGAAAACAGGTTCTCTGCAAGAGAAGTCAGTGCTCTCGACCACTGAGTCATTTCTCCAGCCCCAACAACATTCGTGCTGTAAAGGCTGCTGCCTGATTTTGCCCCTTATATTACTCATGATCTTTGGTTTTCAAATAATGGAAGTTTTTATAATCACCTTCTCTTAATGACTACAAATACAATTCTGACTCAATATTCTGGAGTAAGTTCCACTTGGTGATGGTCTTTGTGCTAAGCAAACATATCTTTGAAGTGTCTGATGGGTACTCTACAAGATGTTCCTTCTCTCCATCAACAAGGACTTACACTTCACACCATACAGACTGCATTTGCTCCAGTTACTCTCATATGGCTGCAGAGTCATCACTGTTGGCTGATTCCTCCCAATGCCCCAATACTTCAACAGTCCACTGGCCTACTTGATCTGCATGTGCACATAGACACACAGTAAGTGATGATATTTCATGATCAAAATGAAAGTGGAGACTAATGGCAATTCATTTGCTACAATGAATTTTGTGGCAATCCTTGTGTTGCAGTGAAGAGTTAAAAAGCATGCTAGAATTCTGAAAAGCTGTCAATTATAACTTAATTGTCAAAGAGACTCAGAGCTCTGATTTATAGGAATCTATAAATAGTAAAATGCTACAATTTGGCTCTGGCATAGACAAAAGTATCAGTCCCCTTCACATTAACCTTGAATTGAATGGCATGAAAATAGGAACTTGGCTTGGGATCTTTTTGTAAAATTGTACTTGTGTGTTCTATGTGTGCATCTGTGATGCAAGAGATAGATGCTAGGCTGTCAGGTGTCTTCATCTATTGCCTTTCATCTTGTTTGTGAGACAGAATCTCTCACTGAACCTGTAGTTGACTGATCTCCATGTTCCTCCACCCCTCCACCCTGAGCTAGGATATCAGATGCAGCACACCCAATTTTTGACAGAATGCTGAGGATCTGAACTCAGGTCCTGATGCTTGAGCAGAAAGTACTTTACCCTCAAGCCATTGCCACCAAGTGTGCTTGCCTTGTCAGAGACCAGAAGTAACAGGAATAATCAATGATAGCCAGGAACCTTCAAAATGATGAGCCAAAATACAACATTCTGACTTTAACATTCCTTTATTTTATTGTGTGTAGATGTATACCTGCATGTATGTATGTCTACTATGTCAGTGGTGCCTGCTGAGAGCAAAAGAATGCATCAGAGGCCCTGGAGCTGGAGGTGCAAATGGTTGTGAGCCACCATGTGGGTATCTGGAACCAAACCCTGGTCCTCTGCAAGGAGGATGAATTCAATGCAATGGACTGACTTGCAGGGTAGAGGAAATTTTAAGACAGTACAGAATAAAGGATATAGCATGCTTACTGTTCAGTGCTTTTAGCTAGGTTAACACTGAAAATTCTGAGCAAAACACAGAGCATAAAATGTAAACAACATTTAAGCTGCCAAGGATGTAGACGAGTTGGTAGAACACTTGCTTAGCATGCATTGACGTCCTAGGTTCAATCTCTAGCACCACATAAACTGAGTGTGGTGGTGTACCCCTATAATCTCAGCACGTGAGAGGAGGATGCCAGAGGATCAGAAGTTCAGAGTGGTGGAAGGCACAGAGTCTCTTGTGCTCACAGATAAGCACTAGGGGAACCAGGGATGTTAAACACACAGGGATGTTGTGGTGGTTTGAATAGGTATGGCCACCACAGACTCATGTGTTTGACTGCTTGGCCCATAGGAAGTGGCACTACTAGGAGGTGTGGCTTTGTTGGAGTGGATGTACCCTTGCTGGAGTATGGGTGACCTTGGAGGAAGTGTGTCACTGTGGAGGCAGGCTTTGAGGTCTCATATATGTTCAAGCCATGCCCACTGAGACAGTTTTTCCTTCTGCTGCCTGCAGATCAATGGATAATAGACTGAACCTCAGAAATTGTAAGCCAGCCTCAATTAAATGTTTTCTTTATAAGAGTTGCCATGGTCATGGTGTCTCTTTACAGCAATAGAAGCCCTAACTAAGACAGATGTTTCTTCAAAGAGAGAGATGTATACCCTGTTTTCCAGCAGAAGTCTGGGACCAGAAGTGGTTAACAGCCTGGTGACCATTGCACTGTATAGCCGAGCCCAGACTCTTCCCTGGGTGCTTACTATGAGCTTCTTTTTCTCAAAGAACCTATCTTTATGGAAGACATGACATGTACTTTACAAAGAGTTTCAATGTAGTCAAGTCTTCAGCTTTGGTGCACATGGGATTGAGTTAATTATTACCAGGAAACTTTTCACCAAATTGTGTTTTCCTTAAAAATGCCTAAATAAATGACTCGGGGTCAGACTCCCAAAGTCTGAACCAATACTAGCTACTGAGTCAGAATGAACCAAGCTGCCTTCTTGCCTCCTGCAGATCATTACTGTGCTGGCTGTGGTGGTTACAAAGACACACACACCATCCCCTGCCCCCCCCCTCGCACTGCATGATAGCATCTTTGGCTATATATTGATTTTTGAGGCCAGCCTGTGGCTGAGGAGCCTTTCTTCAGAGGAGATGAAAGGAGGGAAGGGGAGGGCAAAGGAGGTAAGGCAAGGGATCAAGATAAGTGCATACTTTGCACAGGGAACTTGAGAACAAGACTTCATCCATCAAAGGATCCAAACTTATTTCAGAAACTTTCATTTAAAAGGAGAGTGTCTGAAAACGAATGCCCAAGCATAGAACGTTCCTACAGGGCATCTTGCTTAGAGCTACCTAGATAATTATTTTGCCAGGTTCAGTCAGATGGGCCCTCAGTGATTACTGTACCAACAGTTCATAGGGCCCCAGATATATCTCATGCTGGCAGGAGAACTGCTGTCAACCACAAGATGCTGATTATAAAGACACAAGAAATGTAAAAAGTAAGGGGATGGAGGTTTGCACCAATCAGTACATGAAAACTATCAGTAAAGACAGACAACTGTAACGGAGTTGGATTCACTGTAGCCTAGGACACAATGGAGTCTAGGGTATAGTTGTCAAGAATATAGGATTTCTCCTAGAAAGAGCTACAGGCACCCACAGGACATGGTATGAGAGAACCTATATGTGTTAAGTGATACACACACAGAGATGGGCCTACCCAAGCCCACTGGAGCCCAGGTAATGTCAACACTAGCCCACATATGTCAGACTTAGAGCTTCAGGTTTAGTGGTCACCCTGCTGGATTCTGGATTTCTTTGATCCAGAATTTCCTACAATCATTCTTCCATTTTGGAATAGGAACTTTTTTTTTTTCTTCTGTTTAGTTGTATACTGGAAATGTACAACTTGGTTTTTCTTTTACAGTGGTTCATATCTAACAGTTTAGAGACTTTGGGATTTGGGCTTTTGAACAGTCTTCAGACTGGTAAGACCATAAGAACTCTGAAGTAATATGAATTGTTTGGTACATTACCATAAGGCTGTGAACCCTGGGGGCCATAGGCAACATGATATAGTCTAATCTATCCCTCCAGGCTCATTAGTTTGAATACTTGATCCTCACCTGGGGGTGGGGGGACCTTAGAAGGTTATGGAATCTTTGGGATCTGAGACCCAGCTAGCAGAAATGGCCAGCTTTGTGGGTTTTATTTGCTTTTGAGTCAAGCCCAGCTCATTCCTTATGTACCAGATGTAAGGAGCCTCTGCTACATGCACCCTTGTCATGAACTCCACCACTTAGTTCCGGCCAGGCCTCTCTGCACTAAAATAAACCTTTCTTTGATAAGTTGCTTCTACTCTTTATTTTGTCACAGGAAGAACAGTACCTAACATCCTGTGCAAACAACCCAAGAAGTAGAACTATTTTTTGTCTCAAAAAGAAAACCAAAGCACTAAGAGTTCAACTTGCATGAAGTCATAAAGCACCTCAGTTCAGGATTCAAGCACAGATCGTATGGTTCCCAGGTATTGTACACTTAACAATTTTCTTTAAGTCATAGAGCATAGAAGTTCTAAGTCATATATTTGCATTCTTAAAAATTAGTTAACTTATTGCTGGCTAAATTAAACGAAAAAAAAAAAAACCTAACTACCCAATACTCTGTGTAAATCTCTTTATTATAACTATATTTTTCTCTGTAAGGAAGAGCAAGAACAATTAATTTTTCAATTATACAAGCATGCTATTTACAAAACATACGCTGGGGGCCGTAAGAAAATTAGAATTGCTTCTCAGACATCTTAAATTTTAAAACATGTTACATTTTAGAAATGCTTGCATATAAATTTAATATTTATGTAGTAATACATAAATAACCCTGCTGGAAATTCCTTCAAAATCCACCTGCAAGTAGTGCCAAAATACTACCTCTACCTCTTTACCATCTTTCAGATTTGGGCCTCTGGTCAGCCTTGATGCTATTCACTGGAGTGCTTTCTTCTTTTTTCAATTAGGATATGAGTCATAACTATCTCTATTATCATTCAACTCTGACCTAACATGACATTGCCATCTGTGATGGTTTGGAAGGAAATGGCCCCCAAAGGGACTGGCACTAT